GACAAATCAGAAGTCCAGCTGGTCCCCATTCCCCCTCTCTCTGGAGTCCTGGTTGTGGTTTAGTGGCTCAGTCATGCCCAACTCTTTCGTGACCCTCTGGACTGTAGCCCGCCAGGCTCCTCTGTCCGTGGGGTTTCCCAGGCAAGAGTGCTGGAGTGGGGTGCCACTTCTTCCTCCAGGGGCTCTTCCCTACCTGGGGTCTCTGGTGTCCCCTGCATGGGCAGGCGGGCTCTTTACCCTTGAGCCATCAGGGAAGCCCCGGAGGAGCCTTAGTTACCTGAATATAAAAGAGGAGTTTCAGGGCCTTCAGAGCAGATGCCTGGTGATAGCAAGTGCAGGACTCCTTGCATATAATAGCCCGCGGTGAATGCTACTTCCTCTTCCTTGGGTTCTGGGCTGGGACGGCTGGGACTCTGGAAGCTGTGTGGGTTTAGGTGGCAGAATGTGCTAATTCTAATTTCCAAATGGGTTTTCCTCCTCTGAGGCTTCTTTTCAGCTGGCCAAGTCCCCGCAGTGGGAACCACTGACCGGGGCTCCTTTCTCACAGACGTGCTAACCCTCCCCTTTGTCCCCTCTGGCTTTTACTGTCAGTCTGGTACTTGATGTGGAAGGAGGATGCATCTTAACTCCGCCCCCAGCGCTCCCCCAGGTGCTCCCCAGGGCGTCCCTCCAGCTTCCTGCTCCCACCTTCCGCAGGTATCTGCTCAGGGCCGCCCGTCTCCCTCCCCTCCCAGCCCAGCTGAGCTCTCCTCAGGTGTCCCAACACTTGGGCCACTCTTCAGTCTTCTCTCTTGTGTTCATCTCTGTCTACAGGATTTGTGGGAATTTCTGCTGGAAGCCTCTGAATGTGCCCCAGAGTGTCTACCAGAGGATACGATGCAGACCTTTCTAGAGTTCCTGCTATTAGTCCCTGAAGATCCCAGACACCCACCCAGCGCCCCAGCCCCATGCCTGCGGGCTCCTCTCTGACCTCCCTCTCCTCTTCCCAAACCACGTCGCACACGTGCCTCACCAGGAACTCTCGTCGGCTCAGCCCTCCTGTCTTCGCATCCCACTGGTTCTTACTGAGTAGGTGACTGTCCTTGGAGCCTCCACGGTCATGAAGAGTCCACACTCTTAGTTGTCCTCGGTTGTTTTAAATGTTAATTTTTAAACTTTTGTATTAGTTATCTATTTTATACATGTTGTTTAGTCGCTCAGTCGTGTCTGACTCTTGCTGCCCCGTGGACTGTTGCCTGCCAGGCTCCTCTGTCCATGGGATTCTCCAGGCAAGAACACTGCAGTGGGCTGCCATAACCTCCTCCACTGGGCCACGTGTTGTCAGGATTCTCCACTATGACCCATCTGGGCGGCCCTGCACGGCATGGCTCATAGCTTCATTGAGTTATGCAAGCCCTTCGCCATAATAAGGCTGCGATCCATGAAGGGGAAGCCCCGCGTGCTGCAGTCCGAGGGGTGACAAAGAGTCAGACACGATTTAGTGACTCAGCAGTAACAGCAACAACCGGTTACATCTACCTGCATTTCTTTCCAGCATTCTTTGCTGCAAGAGAATTGGTTTGGGACTTCAGATATAATTTGTGCCGAAACAGGATCCTCCAAACTAAGGTATGTAGAGAGGAGCATGGTGTGAGTAGTGTTAAATACAGTCACGGAATAGATGACGGGGTAGAGTCTCCAGGCATGACTTCTTTAGCACTTTTAAGCCTAAATTCCTACCTCTTCTCCCTGATCCCATCTCTTGAAAGAGTTCATGTCTTTTCATTCTTAGGTCTCCTTTTATACACAACGCCCACAGGGGGTCCATCCTTTACTGTCTTCCTGACAACAGGCATTTGGGTCCATGGTTAATGGCTGAAGAAAGGCCACTGTGGATTCTGTGGCTCCCCTTTCGGTGAAAGTTAAGGGTTAATGTTTCGTCTACACTGCTGTTAAAATGCTCCCTGGCAGGTCTGGGCAGGGGTGGGGGGTTGGAGCTCCAGCATCTCCCTAGATGCCCCTGTGGGTTGCTTTCGGATTTTGCCAACCCAGTCACTCCTCAGGGACCCTTGGGTCCCCAGCGGGAGTCAAGTGCTGGTTTGAGTGAATAAACAGACCCTGCGCCTTGCCTACCTGCAGGGCAGCTAGGAGGGGTCCTCAGGGCGGTGGGCAGGCTGGGGAGACCGACTGAGGGATGAGGAGAACGGGGGCGGGAGAAAGTAACAGGGAGCAAGGTGTTCAGGGCTGGGAGCAACGGGGTGAGTCTTGGAACCCAGAGGTGAAACAGCCGCTGGAAATAATCAGTGAGAGGAAGCAGAAGAAAAAATCAGAAAACGGATTGGCTTCCTTTCCCATCAGACACAAAAACCAGGGCCTCTAGGAAAAGGAGCTGCTGGGAGGCCGCCAGGGACGAGGGAATCCAGGGTGGTCAGAAAACCTGCCCTGGAGGCGATAAAAACCAAACGTGACAGAGAAAAGCAAACTGTCAGAGGGGAGTGGGGAAACATCTCAGGCTGCAGGCTCACGCAGAAAGGCCTAAGGGAGGAAACGGCGGAGAAACTGGGGACAGGCAGGAAATACGACGTGGAAGCACAGATACGCCTCGAGGTAGCAACAGGACTGAAGTGGGGACCCCACGCAGGGCAGAGCTGAGAGACTCCCAGCCTTCCCAGCAAAACCAGGAAACAGAGATTCTTCCCTCAGACAGCTGCGAACTCCGAGGAGCGAAGACTCAAGAGCCCGGGGGCCACAGGGCAGCCACCTCGGCTGAGTCCGGAGGGGCTGGATTTGTATGGAGCAGGCTCACCGGCCTGAGCGTCAGCCTTACCAGGCCTGTTTGTTTTTAGTGTCAGGAAAGCGCGCACTGTCACCCATGGCAAGCTCTGCTTGTATAGCCAGGATGGGCCTGGTCTTGAAGCACTTCCTCGGGCTCCTAAGGCTGCTCCTCGCCGGCAAAGGCCCCACCCTCCTGGGCAGTTTCTGGGGGAGACTTCCCGAAGCTTAAAAAACGGTAGCCCCACAGCCTGTTCCTGGGGCTGCAGGGCTGGGTCAGCCAGGCCCAGGGCCAAGATGCTGTGCTGAGAAAAGACTTTGAAAAACAAGTCTTGGCTCTTTCCCACAAACCAGAGATGTCCCTGAACAACCCAATGGGCTTGGAAAACTTTCCATGTGGAGGATTCTAAAGAATTGCATGGTACGACTTTAAAAGCCATAACAAAACTCATCAGGCTTCTTTCAGTGGGATAGGCATACACCATTGGTGACAGAAAAGATATACTATCAAGTGCCTCTAATATTTGGTCTGAAATTTAGGATGCAGATGCTATTGTTACATCTGCTTAACCAGATGTAACAGAGGTAACCAGACAGAACGGAAGAAGAGCTCAGCAGAACAAAATGGAAAAAAAAGGTGAAGAAAACACTCACATAGGCACAGCAATTGGTGGTTGAGGTTTGCGTCTTTGCATAAACACACACATACAAGAGCGCACATGTGATGTATATGCAGATAGGTACATACATGTGTACAGCATATTCTACAATGAGCACATGTTATATAATCAAAAGTAAAGTTATTTTCTCTCTGAAGAAGGAAGCTGGAGGGCATGCTGGGGGTCCCACCAGGGCAGTCCCTGCTCCATCTGACCATCCTCCAGCCTATTAGGGCACCACTGATACCTGCTCCCACAAGACAAATGGTTTTGTGGCTTGAGAGGGGGTTGGTCTGGGGGAAACCTACCTCTCTGGGAACTGAGGGGTGTGTGTGTGTGATTTCTTGTAAAATGCTTCCCAAGTTACTTGTTTGTGAGGGTGACGTCCAGTTGCATTCTGAGGCCCAGCAGTAAGGCCTTTCCTTATTTTTCTGGAAAGAAGAGAAAGACCTTGGGAAAGACGCGCCCGGGAGCCTTGGCCCCCTCCCCCCAAGGAAGCACCTAGTTATTAACTCGGAACTCTCTCTAGCTGGCCCGGGAGCCTTGGCCCCGTCTCCCCAAGGAAGCACCTAGTTATTAACGCGGAACTCTCTATAGCTGGCCCGGGGGAAGTTTGTGGCTGTAAACTGTCATGCACGGCAGCCTTCGTTGAAAGGACCCAGAGAGCGGAGACGCTTGTCCTGGGAACCAAGGAACGAAGATCCAGAAACCCCCGCCCAGAAACGAAAGGGAAAAACCTAGGCGCTGACCGGCGCGGGGACCTCCGCAGCTAGGCGCAGCCCTGCGCCCCAGCCTCTCGGCCAGCCGCGCAGGGAGCCTTGGGCGGGGATCCCGAAAATCGGCCGTGTCTGCTGGAGGGAAGAAACGTCCCCGCGCTAGTTAGAGAGCTGACATTCCCTCCTGCCGGGCTTTTCCCTCTTATTCGGCCGTGCCACGTCCCGTTTGTACAGCCTAACTACAGTTGGCGGGAGGGACCCGGGAAACCCGGGGGTCCTCATCAGCGCTTCCAGACTTTGGGAAAATCGACCCCCAAGCGTCAGCGCCAAGAGAGCCGCACCCCCCCCCCCCCCCGCCTTGGGGGTCAGGGAGCGACCTAAGCTTCGCTCTCGAGCGCAGGTTTTGGAGAGCCCCCCTGACTGCCTGGTATTCACGCTTCTTCCCCGCACCCCCGTGTTCTAAGTGCTCAGGTTCCAGCCGTCCCAGGCAGCAGAGATAACCTTAATTTCTCCAAAAACACACGCAACCCCCCCCCCCCCAAAGCCCGTGGCCCAAGAAACCCGATGAAGGTGACTCGGCAGGGTCCGGGGCCGCGAGCACACGAGGTCATTTCAGTGTCTCCTTCCAGAAGGAAACTGTCCCCCTCGGGCAGCCCCTGGGCACTTCCTTGTTCCTAGACAACAAAGAAACAGAAACGCGACGGAGTTGGGGCGCGCAGGGCTCCCAGGCTCCCGGCCCGAGCTGGAGGCGCGCGGGGTCGGCCGGGGTCCTTCCGGCGGTGGCCCCCGCAGTTCTCCACGGCGGAGCGAGTCTGGCCCCGCGCCGGGCGAGGAAGGGTTTGCGCGGGGCTTAGATCCCACGGCCTTCCCACAGAGTCCCCTTGGCAAGGCGCGGGGTTGTTCTGAATGGGGCGCCCCACCGACGCGTGGCTCCTTCCAGAAAGCCTGAAGGTGGGGTGCGCGCGGAGCATACGCGGGGGACCGAGGCTGTGGCCACGCTGGCTTCTTTCGAGCCGCGGGCGAGTGAGTCCGAGGCGCGCAGTCCGCGTCCCCACGAGGAGCGTCTGCTTCCTTTTTAGCTGGGTTCCCGCTTTAGGAGGAATGTTATTGTCTGAAGAGGCCCCATTGAACTATTTCCTGCCCATTGTCACCTTTCCTGCGCTCTCCTCCCGGTCCTCGCGGAAGGTAATAAACCACCCGGACCCCGCCACCCCACCCCGCCAGGCGCTCAGGCGCGGCCGCGCGAGATGCGCCCCGAAGCCCGCTTGCCGGGAAACGCTGGCCCGTCCCCTCCCGCTCCCACCTTCCGCGAAAGCAAAGAGCAAAACCCACAGAAGTCGTGCGAACTCTCGGGCTACACACGCACAGACCTCGCCATCAAAGTCCTACTTTTATAGGGGGGAAGCGAGAAAACATCCAGAAGGCGGGGGGGGGGGGGGTGTTTATTGATTTCAGTCTATTTCCCTCTCCGGGCGCGAGGTGGACTGTGGGCAGAGACTCGGAGCGCGCGATTTCCCTTTCCAGACCCTGGAGGGCTGCGGAGAACAGGGGGCGCCCGGTGGGCTGGTCCGTGGTCGAGGGTGTTGGCGGGATCACCTGAAGCGCTGCGGGCCGAGGAACAAGACCGGACCGGGATCGGTGGCAGCTGAGCCTTCGGAGAAGCGCGGAGACCAGCCCGACTCGGGCCAGGCCCTGGGCGCGACCTTAGGCCGGGCTGCGCGCGGTGGTCGCGGGCTCCGGCGCACGCGGGAGCCGCGGCGGGACTGGCATACCTGCGGGGTCCGGGATGCGCTTGGAGAGAGAGGAGGGGACCGCGCGCGCGCGGGAGTGGGGTAACCTCGCGGGCCGCCGAGCAGCCCCTCGGCAAGGTGCGAGCCGGGGCAAGCTCGCGGGCCGGCCCGTCGGTCCCCAGCGCATCCCCCACCTCCTCCCGGCCTTTGGGGGCCAGCCCAGCCGCTTTGATAGAGGTGCAAACATTTGGGGGAGGGCGGAGGTGTAGGGGCTGGGCCGGGGCTCGCCCTGCCCGGCTCCGGATTTACAAAAAGCCGGCGCGGGAGCCCATTGATGGCCCCCCACCTCCGCGGTCCGCCCGGCGGGGTCTGATATGGCCGCTCGCGGCCAATCGGCGGCGGCCCCGGCGCTTCAAAGGGCTCGCGGCCCAATCCGCCGCGCCCCCCTGCGCCATGCTGCAGGCTCTATTTATGCCGAGGGGCGATTTTCCTTCCCAGGAGACCTACTCTAGTCCCTCCTTGCGGGAGTTCAAGTGGAATAACCCCCCCCCACCCCTCTCCCCCGCCCCCTCCTCTCCAGATCGTCGCCCTCCACGCAGGTCGGCGCTGGGTCTGTGCCGTCGCGGGTCTGGGCACTTCTTGGGTCTTCTTGGAAGAGCGGCCGTCTGCGGCGGCGAAGGTGGCGTAGCCAGTCGGGACTTGGTGGGGGGGGCGTCGGGGCGCGGATCGGCGGGAGGATGACCTCCCCGGGCACCGACAGCCCCGGGAAGAGCCTGCAGTACCGCGTGGACCATCTGCTGAGCGCCGTGGAGAGCGAGTTGCAGGCGGGCAGCGAGAAGGGCGACCCCACGGAGCGCGAGCTGCGCGTGGGCCTGGAGGAGAGCGAGCTGTGGCTGCGCTTCAAGGAGCTCACCAACGAGATGATCGTCACCAAGAACGGCAGGTGGGCGCGCCGGCTCCCCGCCCGGCAACACCCTGGCCTAATCTTTCCGCTCATTTCCGCTCAGGCTGGGAATAGACTCGTGTGGCCTCTCCCTCTCCCTCTGGGCCTTCTTCGCAGAATTGTCACTTTCCTGGGGAGGACCGGGTGGCTTCCCTGGGGGGTCAGATAGTAAAGAAGCTGCCTGCTATGCGGGAGACCCCGGTTCCTATTCCCAGGTCGGGAAGATTCCCTGGAGAAGGAAATGGCAACCCACTCCAGAATCCTTGCCTGGAGAATTCCGTGGACAGAGGAACCTGGTGGGCTACAGTCCATGGTGTCACAAAGAGTCGGACACGACTGAGCAACTAACAGAGCCCTGGGGAGGGGGGACTCCCCGGGGACTCGGAGGACCGAGCCTGCTGGCTCTTGCCTGGAGGGCCTGACCGGTGTGCTGCAGCCTCGGCCAGGCCCTGTCCCACCTGCCTCTAGAGGCGGAGGGATGAGGGATGGTGGGGTGGGCGCCTGCAGGTCTAGGAGAGTCCTTTGTAGGAGGACCGCGTATGTCCCCTTTTAAGTTCCCAGGGGGAACTTTCGGCCCCAAGCGGCAGCTGCCCCTGGCTTCGGCCCCTCCACCCCATCCCGGGTCCTCCAGCTGCGCCCTTCGTTTTCAGGAGGATGTTCCCGGTGCTGAAGGTGAGCGTGTCCGGCCTGGACCCCAACGCCATGTACTCCTTTCTGCTGGACTTCGTGGCGGCCGACAACCACCGCTGGAAGTACGTGAACGGGGAGTGGGTGCCCGGGGGCAAGCCGGAGCCGCAGGCACCCAGCTGCGTCTACATCCACCCCGACTCGCCCAACTTCGGGGCGCACTGGATGAAGGCGCCCGTCTCCTTCAGCAAAGTCAAGCTCACCAACAAGCTCAATGGAGGGGGCCAGGTAGGTGTGGTGGGTGGGGGGCGGGGGGCGGCTCCAGGAGGGGCCTGTGACTCTGCACCTTCTTGTGGCAGAGAGCTGGAAGGGCGCTGCTGGCCTGGAGGTGAAGTCTGCCTTCCTCAATTAAGCCCTCAGTGTTGTTTATAGTAAGCTGACGACAGTAACACCCGGGCTGGAGAGTGAGCGGGGAGAAGGCGCAAAGCCTCCGCGTTGAACAGGCGGGCGGGCCTCAAGCTTTGGGGAACTTCTGCGTCCTAGCCTTCATCTTCCCTGGGGTAGAGAAAATACCCGTGTTGAGGGTAAGCGCTCATTTTAGAGCTGAATGTGCCCGCGTACTTACTGTGTGGAGTCTGAGCAGACTTGCAAAGCTGTCCTTTTCTACAGATAGTCTTTCCTTGGCATGTTCCTGGGAGACCCGGTGTTCCCGAAAGCAGCAGCGGTGCTCAGGCATTTCAAGCTGGCTACAGCTGCCCTGGAAGCTGTAGAACTTTGTTCTACCAGGTCAAGCACATCCTGAAGGGCAGGCATTGCCTCTGATCGTGTGCAGCGTCTCTCATTCCTTTTCCAACCTAGTCGTGGGAACGGCACCTGATGGGCAACCTACCGCCTTCAACTTGCTCAATTGCTCAGTCGTGTCCAACTCTTTGTGACCTCATGGTCTGTAGCCCACCAGGCTCCTCTGTCCATGGGATTTCCCAGGCAGGGATACAGGAGTGGGTTGCCATTTCCTCCTCCAGGGGGTCTTCCCAACCCAGGTATCCCTCGTGTGTCTCCTGCATCTCCTGCATTGCAGGCGATTCTTTATGCCCCGAATCACCAGGGAAGCCCCCAGCATCAGCAGTAAAAACATTTTGCAGTAAAAACATTTTCCTGTGAACTGCAGCAGTTTCTGCATTTACGTCAGGACAAATGGAAGTTTTGTTGTCTTTAATGGTGGGACTTTGAGGATTGCAGTTCCTGTGTTCATGTCTCTGTCAGATCATGTTGAACTCCTTACATAAGTATGAGCCTCGAATCCACATCGTGAGAGTTGGGGGTCCACAGCGTATGATCACCAGCCACTGCTTCCCGGAGACCCAGTTCATCGCGGTGACCGCTTACCAAAACGAGGAGGTGAGGGGCGCGGGCAGTCAGCGGTCTCGTGTGTGATGAGTGTCCTTTAGAGTCTAAAGTTTAGACGGATAATTAATGCCTTTTCAAATAATTTCCCGTAATGGTAAATGCCAAACGGGACAGAAGGAGAAAAGTTTTAAAATAAGAACTCATTCAAGCACTTTCTCCTTTAGTTTTCCCTAAAAGTGTCTAAATCTAGAAGCATCCACTAAATGCACAAAATGAAAAGATAAATAAAGCATTCAGGTTCAGGACTGTAAGATTTCTTGAGAACAAGACTTCAGAGAGAGAGAGAGGTGTCTCCTTACTCTGAAAACCTTCCTGAAAGGTCAGGAGCACCCCTCCAAGTCTGTGCTGTGTGAAGGGTCCGCTAGATACAGCACACAGTTTAGTGCCTATGAACCCATGTCTATGCCTGGCCCCAAAGGACAGACAGTAGGTGATTAGCTGGTCAGGCTGTGAGTGCTGACCGCCAGCCAGAACTAGAAATCACTCTCCGTAAGCGGATCTGGGTAATGCTTTGAGCCGTGTTTGCTTGACTGATGCACACAGAATATTGTCAGCAGTGAAGTGAAGGGAAAGTTGCTCAGTCGTGTCCGACTCTTTGGGACCCCGTGGACTGCACAGTCCAGGCCCGAATACTGGAGGGGGTGGCCTGACCCTTCTCCAGGGGAATCTTCCCAACCCAGGGATCAAACCCAGGTCTCCCGCATGGCAGGCAGATTCTTTACCAGCTGAGCCACACGGGAAGCCCTTATGAGCAGGAGGTTAAATTTATTGTGAATTCCACTTAGGAAATCAACATCTAAAAACTTTACATAAAGTGTACTGTTCTTTATGAAATATTGTAATTACTTGGCTACTTCGGATTCTGATTATATTTGAATATTTAAAGGGGATATTGGTGGTGCCTGATTTCTTGGTGCCTAATTAAGTCCTCTGACTAATGAGCCCTATCCTAATAAATGCACCTTCTTGTTTTTCAGATCACAGCTCTTAAAATTAAATACAATCCATTTGCAAAAGCTTTCCTCGATGCAAAAGAAAGGTGAGAGAATTCTAACAATACCCCTGGGGTGAAGAAGTGTGCAGAATGGTGAGCTATTGCTGCAAACACTGTTTCCTGAATGCTTTCCTTGACATTTCAATACACTTTCTTGACAGAAGCGATCACAAAGATATGATGGAAGAAACAGGAGACAGTCAGCAGTCTGGGTACAACCAATGTACGGTTTGTTGCACTCGGCCCAGATGTACCTTGTCTCAGGGAGCAGCCTGCCTGGGGCCGGGGGCTGGGGATGGGGCAGACAGAATTTCCGGGTGCCCTTGGGCAGCACCCTGCTCTTCACTGTGCAAGGCGGTGGCCCTGCATGGTGACCCTGTTCCTACTGGTCATTGAACTGCTGGCTCTCAGCCTCCACTCCATCCGGGGCTTGCAGATGCCCCCCCCCACCCCACCCCCACAGGATTCCTGACAGAGGAGCCTGGGTTCTTTTACTTTGAGGCCACTCCAGGGGCTTCCTAGGTGGCGTGATGGTAAAGACTGCCTGCAATGCAGGAGACGAAGGAGACACGGGTTCCATCCTTGGGTCGGGAAGATCCCCTGGAGGAGGAAATGGGAACTCACTCTAGTGTTCTTGCCTGGGGAATCCCATGAACAGAGAAGCCTGGCGGGCTAGAGTCCACGGGGTCACAGAGT